TCATCTGCATATTGCAGGTTGTTAATGAGTCTTACTCAAATCCTGATGCCGTGTTTTTCATATAGTCCACCTTCTCGAATTATTTGCTCAGCGTAGAGATTGAATAAGTATGGTGAAAGGATACAACTCTGATGTACACCTTTCCTGATTTTCAACCATTCAGTATCCCCTTGTTCTGTTCAAACAACTGCCTCTTGGTCTGTGTACAGATTCTGCATGAGCACAGTTAAGTGTTCTGGAATTCCCATTTTTCACGTGTTCTTCATAATCTGTTATGATCCACTCAATCAAATGCCTTTTGCATAGTCAATAAAACACAGGTAAATATCTTTCTGGTATTCTTTGCTTTCAGCCAAGATCCATCTGACATAGCAATGATATCCTTCTTTCCACATCCTCTCCTGAATCTGGCTTGAATTTCTGGCAGTTCCCTGTCAATATACTGACGCAACTGTTTTTGAGTTATCTTCAGCAAAATATTACTTGCCATGTAATATTGATGATATTGTTCAATAATTTCTGCCTTCTGTTGGATCACCTTTCTTTGGAATGGGCATAAATCTGGGTCTCTTCCAGTCGATTGGCCAGGTAGCTGACTTCCAAATTTGTTGGCATAGATGAGTGAGTGCTTCCAGTGTTGCATATGTATGTTGATACATCTCAATTTGTGTTCTGTCAATTCCTTGAGCCTTGTTTTTTGCTAATGCCTGCAGTACAGCTTAGACCTCTTCCTTCAGTACCATTGGTTCCTGATCATATGCTGCCTCCTGAAATGGTTGAAAATCGACCAGTTCTTTTTGGTGCAGTGACTCTGTGTATTCCTTCCATCTTTTTTTGATGCTTCCTGCATCATTCAGTATTTTGCCCATAGAATCCTTCAGTATTGCAACTTGAAGCTTGAATTTTTTCTTCAGTTCTTCCAGCTTAAGAACTGCTGAGCCTGTTCTTCCCTTTTGGTTTTCTAACTCCAGGTCTTTGCACATTTCTTTATACTACTTTACTTTGTCATCTTGATCTGCCCTTTGAAATCTTCATTTCAGCTCTTCTACTTCATCATTTCTTCCATTCACTTTATTTATTTAGGTATTCTTTAATTTCAGCAATGTTTTATAGTTTTCAGTGTTTAAGCACTTCGCCTCTTTGGTTAAATTTATTCCTAAGTATTTTATTCTTTTTGATGCTATTGTAAATGGAATTGTTTTCTTAATATCCTTTTCTAAATTGTTTTCTTAATTTTCCTTTTTGGATTGTTGATTGCTAGACTATCGAAATACAACTTGTATTTGGTCACTTTGCAGTGACTAAATCCAGCTCTCACGCAAGGGGGAAGGGATTACACAAGGGCATGAATACCAGGAGGCAGGATCACTGGTGGCCATCTTAGGAGCTGCCTACTGTATTACATAAGGACAATATTATTTTGAATGATCAATTCATTTTTAATAGTCAAACTTCAGTATTATTTGGTCAGTAAATATTATTTTGAAACCATGAAAGTTGCTTTAATTGGAAGTCTTATATTGTCATTATTTGTTTCTCTTTTCTTTATTTTCCAGAATAACCTGGGTATCTTGTGGTCTGAAAGAGAAGAAATTGAAACTGCACAAGCTTACCTAGAATCATCAGAAGCACTATATAATCAGTATATGAAAGAGGTATGTTGCATGTCAGATAAATTTTAAGTTTTATTTAAAACAAGTAAAGAATTGATAGTAAGAATTTTTAATTCATAATATTGATCTGACTCTACACTGAAGAGTTAGTGGTTCGGTGGTAGAATTCTCCCCTTCCATGCAGGAAGACCAGGTTCCTCTCTATAGAGCTGTCTAGAAGGTCAACTGATAGCTAAAATTATTGTATATTAAAGACTTCAGGGCCTTTAAAAACAATTTTTGGATAGAGTCTAATGGCAACCTGAGTCCAAATAGAAGCATACAGGAAATACTAATATTATCTTAAAATACTGATATTTGCATATTTGCATTTACAATCTAGAAATTCCATTTTGGTTTCCATTGAGAAAAGTAGTGCTTAAAAGAAAGCAAACAAGAATTACTTGAACAAAACTTGAAATTTTTCAGATAGTGGTTCTCAAGGTTTTGCATATATCAGAGTCACCTGGAAAACTGCTGGGCCTCATTCCCAGACTCTGATTCAGTAGTTTTGGAGTAGGGCCTGAGAATTTGCATTTTTAACAAGATCCCAGGTGGCGATGATACTACTGGTCTAGGTACTACAGGCATTGGTTTTTCCATGATTTTTTACCTATGAAACCCTTCTGAAATTCAGTATGTGGAAAAACGTAGTGAGCTACTCTGGTTAAACAGGTCAGAAAGACCCTGAGCCCAATCTGCTATGGATCCCTTCCACCTTTCCCACTGTGGGTGGAATAACTCTTACCAAAAGAGTTGCTGTAGGAACTTCCAGGGCTCTGGGGAGCCTAGACTGAAAACACTCACTTCGGGTGTCGTGAGGAGGCGGGGAACACAGCTCTGACAAACCACTGTGTTAATATCTGTTTCTTTAATAAACTTTTACCTACTGTCAGTTGGCAGTCTTTTTTAAAATTAAAATGGATTTTAATTAATTTTGTTTTGAGGCTATTTGTGGCACTCCATTAAATAACCAGAGATATTTTGAGGTTTCTCAAAATCGGAGTTAAGAGTCAATGCTTCGTCAAGCTCACCAGTGATTTATATGTTGCTAAATTTATTTGTGAGCCAGAGAGCACACCTCAGTGGGCACATCTTGGAGTGGGTGGGCCTGGGAACAGTGATGGTTCAGGGGTAGAATTCTCCCCTTCCATTCAGGAGAACCAGGTTCAATTCCCAGCCAGTGCACCTCATGCACAGCCACCACCCATCTGTCAGTGGAGGCTTGCATGTTGCTATGATGTAGAACAGGTTTCATTAGAGCTTTCAGACTAAGACAGACTAGGAAGAAAAGTCATGGCAATCTACTTCCAAAAAATCAGCCAATGAAAACCCTGTGGATTACAACATAGAGTTACCATGAATTGGGAGCTGACTCAGTGGCAGCTAACAACAACAACAAACTGAGTGGTACATTCTTAGTCCTCATCTTTTTTGACCTGTCAGTACCATTTAATGCAACTGATCGCTCTTCCTTGAAACACTTTATTTTACTTGACTTCCAAGATCCCACACTTGTCTGGTTTTCCTTCTTAACAGTCTTTGGTGTTTCATCCTTATTTCCCCAACCTCTGAATACTGGAGCACCCAGAGTCAGTCCTTGGCCCTTTCCTTTTTCCATATACATTCATTCCATTGTTGTAAATACCGTCTCTGTGCTTGTGACTGTAATCCCTGACTCATCTGTCCAATGGCTGACTTGACATTTGCACTTTTTATGGAGTAGGTGTCTCTAAAACTACTGTGCAAAATTGAGCTTTTGATAATCCCTCTTGTCCCCGGTTTTTCTTGTTGTAAACACAACTTCTTTCTTCCAGTTTCTGAGGCCAAAAACCTTGGAGACTTCTCTTTTCCTCACACCACATAATCTACCAGTAAATCCTGTTGGTTCCACCTTCAAATTACATCCAGACTCAAAGACTGCTGCTATTTTCCTGGTTCTCACCACCACCATCATCTCTTGCCTAAATATTGTAGTAGTTCCCCAACTGATCTTCCTGCTCCCATGCCTCCTTCAGTCTGTTCTCAGCTCTGTTCAAAAGTAGATCACTTCTCTCCTTTCCTCAGAATCATCTAATGGCTTCCTACATTCAGAGTAGACTCCAAAGACCTTTTGAAGACCAACAAGTTCCTACCTGATTGGCCGCCATTAATTCTCTAATCTCATGTCCTACTGTTCTCCCCTGTCTCACTCTGTTCTAGCTACACTGGCCGCCTTGCTATTCCTGGAACACACCAGACAAGCTCCTAACTCAGGGCCTTTGTACTTACTGTTTCCCCTGCTTAGAATCTACATGGCTCACTCCATCATTTCCTTTAGGTCTTAAATGCGTCCATCCAGTGCACTGATTTCTTCACCCCTCCCGAACACTTCCTATCCATTTTCCAGCTTTATTTTTCACTTTAGCTTACCACTGTCTAACATATTGTGTATTTTAGTGATTTATCTTGTTTATTACCCGTCTTCACTTCTAGAATGTAAGCATCATGATGACAAGGATATTTTTACTGTTCTGTTTACTGCTGTATCTGCAGTATCAAGAACAGTACCTAGTTCTTGAAATTACAAATGGTATTATACTTTGTCCCTCCCAGTCAACATGAAGAACAGCAAAACAGTATTACACTGTGAATTTGATGGGAGATTTTCAGTTAAATATGTAAAATAGTGTTTAGTTGGAGATGTTTAATTGCTTCTATGGTTTTTTATATTCATAGATAATATAGTTCTAGGTAAAGAGAGATCTAAACAAAGGAAAAAAATCACCGAATATGAAGATAAAAGACCTAGGATTCTAGTTTCACTTGTGGTCATAACTAACTGCTTGACTTGGAGGAGCTCAAACTTTCTATGCCACTCACTCCTCATCTGTAAGATGGAGTAACCCACCCATCTCTACAATATGGAAATGTTGTGGAGATCATAAAATAGCTAATGAAAAGTCACTGAAGTCTGCATGCCCAATAACCAGGGAATGGCTCGTAAAGTATGGTACACTAATAAAGGGGAATAAAATATAACCATTAAAATGATAAATATTTAGATCATCAATATATGGAAAGTGTATACAGGGCATATGTACATGTTGATTACAACTGTAAACATTTTTCTGTTTATGGAAACATAGCACATTGCAAAACTATACTTAATTATACTTCTGTTCTAGTTATGAGATGAGGCTGATTTGACAGTGTTCCATACATATGAAGTGTGATAGTCATAAAGTGAAGTGTAATAATAAGCAAAATACATTGATAATCCTCCTCTAGACAGGGGCAAGCATATTGAACAGCCTTCAGAATTGTTGAAATCTCTGAAGAATTATCTATTGTGTTTGCCTTGGACCTGGCTTCCTATCTTTGTGGTTTTTACCTTCTGTCAGTATTGGAAACTGTGATGCTTTTAGTGTTTTTGTATGCAGAATATAAGATCACATATTTTATCGAACATATTGCTGCTACTTGGGGTTTAGTGAATTCAGTTTAAAGCAAGAGTGGGCTTGAAGATGGGACTACCTCATAGAAGTAGAAGGATGCAGAAGTTAAGCAGTTCTGCTCTTTTGGAACACTTGAGATGGGATCAGTTCATAAAAAATGGAGTCACTGGTTTCAATGTCCCTGAATTGAAAGGAGATAATCTATAGATTTTTTTATTCCCTTGAGAAAAATATATTAGAATAAATATTAAAAACTAATTTGATTTTCATTTGTGGTTAGTTTAGGACAATATTACTTTAAAGACGTATACATTTTTCCTATTTGTTGTGCTTATTAGAGCTCTTTTTACCAGACAAAGTTAAGATTTAACAGTACTTAAAGAACTATACATCTCTAATTAAAGCAAATTGATAGATTTTTTTAATGTATTTCCAGTAAACTGCAATAGCAGTTTAAATTTGTCAGGTGTGAACTTGCAGGAAATCTCCTTTTATTTGTTTTTTTCAGATTTTATGGTTAGGAAATTTACTTCTTGGGTGACATTAAAGTTAACTAGGAAAAAATGAAGTGTATTGGGCTTTATAAGTTGATTTTTCTACTTCCCCCAGATGAGGGCGCTTGGTGTTTACAGTTTAAAATTTTAAAGCGCTTTTGTTCTTCAATTGTAGATTGGGAGTCCTCCTCTTGATCCTACTGAACATTTTCTTCCTGAAGAAGAGAAACTTACTGAACAAGAGAGATCAAAAAGGTGAGTAAGTACAGAAGTCAGCCTTTACAAGTATTGCTACATAGTGTAGATAAGATGATTATTTTAAAAAGCACAATGTTTTCTGCTTTGAGGTACTTTAAAAGGGTATGGAATTTGGACTCTGACATGGATTAAAACCTCCATTTGCCACTTCCTAGCTATGTGACGTTGTTCAAATCTGAGGCTCAGTTTGCTTATCTGTAAATAGAGATAATAACCATACCCAGCTCAGAGGGTTGGTGGATCAGTTGAGAAAAATATGTATGAAAGTGCCTTATAAATTGTAAACGATTATGCAAATATTCTTTTTCTTCACAGATTTGAGAAGGTTTATACTCATATCTTATATTATCTGGCTCAAGTCTACCAGCATATGGAAATGTTTGAGAAGGCTGCTCATTATTGCCACAATACCCTAAAACTCCAGCTTGAGCACAATGCCTACCAGCCTATAGAGTGGGCTATTAATGCTGCTACCTTGTCACAGTTTTACATCAATAAGGTAAGCCCCTCAAAGTAGTTATCCAATAATCCAAAGTAGTTATCACCAATAGTGAATGTTTAAATAGAACAAATAGTACCTTGAAAATGTCACCTTTCTAAAACATGTTGCTTATGTTTAATGATGTAAAACTGCACAGAAAAATGCAGTCCAATTTGTCAGTGTATTAAAACTTGGTTGCTTTTTGTTGACTTCAATATTTTGAGTCTTAAGTTTTATCATTGTTTTACATGTCGATAGCTCCTAAAATTACATGTTATCTGAAACCAATTCTTTTCTGCAATAGGCATGCTATCTCAATTCATTTTTGTGAGATGTTGCCTTAAATTGTAGCTTTTATCTTGTTGCAGATACAACTTTATCTTTATGCAGTGGTAATCTGGTAACTGAGAATTCATCTAAGGAAGTTGACTGTTAAATGTGGGCTTTGATAAAAACACGTGATACATTTCAGTTATTTTTCAGAATTCTCTATGATAATTTTTCTGTGTTGGAAATCTCTCTGCTCAGTTCTAATATAGAGGCTTTATGGCATACTTCTGGATTGTTACACAGGGACAAATTTTGATCTTCTTAGTTATTATTTGTCAGAATTGCTCAGAATCGTGCTGGTAGTACTCTTAATTGACGCATGTATTCCTTTAGTCACTAACAGTTTCTGTTAAAAGCCCTTTAAAGCCACCATTCCTAGCCAGATTCTATTAATCCTTAATAAGATACCTTGGCAAATTACTTTTATTTGTATTTCTAATTCACAGGCCTCTCTGAAATGGTGGTAATTCTTTGCTTACCAGAGTTCCGCCTTTCATCTCTCTGGTTACCTTCTACCTTATCCTTACTGGGGCCTTTAGCCTGTCTAAGCTGATTCTGTAAACGCGCCCTATGTTTAAAGTATGGTCCCACAGATTTCATTCAGATAAGCTATTATCAGGAGAGAAAGGGCTGTGGTGACTGCAGCATCACTTCTAGGACTTTGGTCTAAGATCAAGCGTGTAAGTAACGCTACTTCATATATCTGAGCATTCAGTTAAGTCTACTCTTATGAATCCATTTCACTGTGGTCATCATCAATAAGTGTTATCCAGTACCTCCGCTTGTGGCATCTTTTTAAAAACTGTCAGAGGCCCCTTGTTTGTTCTATTTAGGAACTTTAAAATTACTTATTCACTGTGATTTTAATTAACACTTAAAACTCCACAGATATTGATAGTACTAAGATATCTAAATATTAATTTAAAGTATGATTAAAAATTTAAAGTTGTTAAGCATTACTTCTATGGAGCATGCAGTAATTTTCATGAGCACCTTTACCCACCCTACATTTTTATTTTTTACGAGAATGTTTTATAGGTATTTATTACAACAAGCTAAGTTACATTGCAAAAAGAGGGATTTGAACTATGATTTTTTTAATGCAGTTATCATTTATATCATTATCATAAATGATACTTAATGAGTCTTTACCTGTCAAATGCTAAAGTCCCACATTTTTACCAGCCACGTAGAGGGCATAAGGCACTGTACTATCAGTGGTTGCTCAGAGGGAACCAAGCTGGGTAAAGCTGACGTGCTAATGATGAGTAGGGATGGTAGAGGGACAATTAAAGTTTCCTTGTGTAACCTGTAACTTGCTTTTGACTTTTGAGGTTAAATACCACCTATTTTGCTCAATAGATGTTGCTGGGTACCCCTCTAGCTATTGTCAGGTTGGCTTCTGAATTTGCCATAATGAGGTGTAAAATCATAGCCAACCATAGTCATCTTAGAAATATCATGTATTACTAAAATGAAGTATTCTGTTTAATGAGGGTACCCTCCAACCAATCCAAAAGTTGGATTTTAACTTTGTACTTCTGCTGGGTGGCCCTGTGAGTCACATGACAAATGCAAAGTGTTTATATTCATAGGGAGATCTTCTCTAAGTGTCTGAGAAATTCACCATGCCCAGATTTGAATTTTGAAGTCTTTAGGTGTGTTGGTAAAGCAGTGCCATTAAAGTTCATCGGAGGAAACCTGTTGACTTCAAAACTTGATGGGAAGCTCATTGTGTATAAATTCCAAAGATTTTAGAAGTCAAGAATCTCTACCTATCAGAATTTATCATTTTTGTGTTTGAACTATAGGCTGTAAAGGGAATCTCTAAACTTGAAAAAAATTAAATCTTCAAATCCTGTGACAGAATGTAAATGGTCTAAGAATTTATCGTTCATGAAACTTTGGCAATTGAGACTGAGCCTAAAGGACTGTCTGAGGTAGTTTGAATCTAGATTGATAAACCACTCCCATATACTTATTGATAAGGAGCCCTGGTAGGGCAGTGGTTAAGTGCTCGGCTACTAACCAAAAAGTCGGTGGTTGGAAACCACCAGTTGCTGTTCTGTTCTGTCCTATAGGGTCACTAAGAGTTGCAGTAGACTCAGTGGGTTAAACTTATTGATTACATGAAGAGAACTAACTTTGAATCAGCATTTGTCTTTCAGCCAGTTTGGACTGTTGTTAAGAGAATGGGGCATTGTTATTTTAATCTTGGAGATAGCTTTTTAACCAGATAATACCATAACATGTCTTTTATACCTTCTTAATGTTCAGTGACTATACTATACAGGGTCTCCTTAGTAGTTGTTTTTTAACCTGATTTTTTAGATTTTCCCAAACTAAAAGACTGTTTATGCAAGTATTAATTACAGATAAAGCTGTCTGATAGTCTCATTCACTCTTGTTTATTTCCCCAACAGCTATGCTTTATGGAGGCCAGGCACTGTTTATCAGCTGCTAATGTCATTTTTGGTCAAATTGGAAAGATCTCAGCCACAGAAGACTGTAAGTTTATGTGTACATTTTTATTATTTAGCTTTTTTAAAAGTTTTATTTTGAAATAATTTTAAACTTTAGAAAAGTTGCAAGAACAGAACAAAGAACTACCATATGCTCTTCTTCTGCATTCATCTTTTTTTAATTATTTGCCTCATTTGCAATCACATTTTTCTTTCCGAACCATTTGAAGGAAGGTTGCATACATCAGGCCCCTTTGCGCCTTGATACTTCAGTAGGTATTTCCTAAGAACAAGAATATTTCTTACAGTCATAGAATAGTTATCAAATTCGGAAGTTCCGGAAATGTAACCTTGATATAGTTCTATTATCTGTAGTGCACATTTCTGTTTCATCAGTGTCCCTATAATGTCCTTTATAGCAGTTTCTTTCTGGTACAGGATTATCCAGTCCAAGATGGTGTATTGCATTGAGTTGTCACCTCCCTTTAGTCTTCTTCATCTGGACAGTTCCTTGGCCTTTTTTTCTCTTTCATCAAGTAGACATTTGTGAAGAATAAACCAAAAACCAAACCAGACCCACTGCCATCAAGTCGATTCTGACTCATAAAGTCCAGTTGTTTCTCATCATTTGGGGTTTGTAATGAGTTCACAATTTTCTTTCCCTCTGTTTGATTCTATAACTCAATGTTGAATAGTCTCCAGCCTAAGACTCTTTAGATTTTGAAACATCACATTTTCTATGCAGATGGAAGTTCTAATTGTGGATTAGTAGAATACAGAAGCTGTGAAGAGTCAGAGGAATGTACATTATCAAATTAAATGTTTTTTCCCTTTAATTTATATACTACATTAAATACAGATTGATTAAAGTCTAAAAGGCATTTGCTCCGAAAATATTAATAAAAATTAAAACACCAGTGAAATACCATTTTGGTTTTACTCTTTAAAATAGAAAGCTGGAAAAAAAGTGACAGTGTCCAGTGTTTTCAAAATGCTTTCATTGAGAACCCTCATAACATTGTTGGTTGGAGTGTTTGTTGAAAATAATTTGGCAGTATGTATCAAGAACATTTATAATTGTGTGAACTCTTTGACCCAGTAAATTCCACTTCTAGGAATCTGTCTTAAGGAACTAACCCAACATTCACAAAGATTTATGTGCAAAATCTTCATTTTTAGAGTTGTTTGTAATGGTGAAGAATTGGGAAACACATGCCCAGTATTAGAAGAATGGTTAAATGAAGTATCGAACATCTATTTAATTGCATATAATGCTATACTTAGAAATGATGTTAAAGAGTTGTTAATGATATGGGTAAAATGTTGGTTATAATACATAAGGAAAAAGCTAGATTTAAAACTGAGTATACATTGTGACCTTAACTTTTACCTACAGAGAATACATAAGAAAAAACTGGAAAGAAATATGCAAAAATAATAGTGGTGAATACCACTCTGGGTGGCAGGATTTAGGGTGGGTTTTATTTCCCCTGCTTCAGTGAGGCTTTGTTACATTTATAGTCAAAAAAAAGAGATATAAAAAAGAATGCAGGTTTTCTTTAGGGGGCATTGAGTTTATGTTAATGGTGGTAGAATATTTTGGAAAAGGATAACAATAATGGTGGCACAACATGAAAAATACAATCAGTGTCATTGAATTGTAATGTGGAAGTTCTTGTGTCAGTGGGTGTTCTGGTGTGTATGTTTTCACCACAATAAAAAAAGAGAAAAAAAAGACTGCAGTACACAACGAAAATTATAATTGTGACCACATTAGACAACTCAAATGTGTAATTTTAGCTACTGAAGCTGAAGGAGATGTACCGGAGCTTTATCATCAGAGAAAAGGGGAGATAGCAAGATGCTGGATCAAATACTGTTTGACTCTCATGCAGAATGCCCAACTTTCCATGCAGGTAATGCAGTCAAAATTGCCCTTTTCTTTCTTAAGTGAATAGGATGTAAGTAAAAGCTTAAAATGGGGATCAGGCTCATTGGGCTCACTGAGTGGTTTTTATGCATGGTATTCAGAATACTCTCATAAATATTTGTTTCTTGTCTTCTCCATCTCTACTTTTTAAAACTTACTCATCATTCAAGGCCTATCTCAAATGCCGCTTCTTCCTTGAAGGCTTTCCTTTGGCTAGAATATAAGCTTCTTAAAAGTGGGATCCATATCGTGTTCTTATTATATCTTATCCAGGCATAAGGGGTTCTCAATTAATAATTATTGAATCAATAATGCTTTATCCCTCACAGATACGTTATCTCCTTCCTTTAAACTCCATAGAACTTTTTTGCCCCTTCCTAAATCATTTAAATTCTGCTTTGTATTATCACTATTCATATTCTTATCTTATTCCTTTGCCTCTTTTTAGACTGTAAGTAACTAAAACCAAAACCAAACCCTTTGCTATTGAGTAGATTCCGACGCATCGTGACCCTGTAGGACAGAGTAGAACTGACCCATAGGGTCTCCAAGGCTGTAAATCTGTATGGAGAGGGCTAGAAATATCTCTTACTAATCTTTATCTACTTTGCAGCTTATCTTACACATAACAAGAACTTGATAAAATCTAGAAGGGTAGACTTTTAAGAAATAGCTGCTGTAATAGCTCAAGTAGAGAAGCAGTACTGACAGCAGTTTAAGAGCATGGGCTCTGGAAACAGACTGCTTAGGTATGAATCCCAGCCCTGCCACTTTGTAGCTGTGTGTTCATGGCAATTTACTTACCTTCTTTGTGCCTCAGTTTCCTCACAAGTAAGATGGAGATAATAATAGTCCCTAATTAACAGTGTTGTTATGAGAGTTAAATTAATATATATGAAGATCTCAGGAAAGTGCCTTAGACAAATGAGTCCTCAATAAATGTTAATTATCATCATCGTCATCATTATTATTACTAATCCATACTGAATCCTAGTTTCTGACCCCTAAGGAAGAAAATAAAATAAATCATTGGGACACAGTATGCTAAGTGTAGATACATAGGAGGCTGTTTTCCTCAAAGAGTTATTGTGCTTTCTTTTTCTCTTTGCATGCATGAAGATATATCATTTTTAATAATAAATAAAATAGAACTTTGTGAAACTACTAAACAGAATAAAGCTAAACAGACAAAACTTCAAAACCCCAGAAGCATAAGTTTTGAAAAGATGAGAACACTTTGTAGTCGTAGGTAAAAATGAGGCATAGTAAGGAAAGAGACTAGAGTTTTATGTGTAGGGAAGTTGGAGCTGGGAAGAGTTGTCAGCTTTCTTTTGATTGGGCAAGGAAGACTGAAGAAGGAAGGTTGCAGGGACTATTGGATCACAACAGTGGCTAATGAAAGAAAGCATCATAGAAAGCATGTAAATAAACCAACAGTCCAGGGCGCAAGTAAGTAAACAAGATTTATAGACTTAAAATTGACCCATATTTGAAATAATTGTGTCAAGTAAAATGTACCATAGTTTAATTCTTACCCCTCATTCAGTTGATGTTTTCCAGCCTCGCACTAGAACGTAGCACCCAATGAGTTTAAGCTCAAGGAGTTGCCATGCTACTGAATTACTCAGATTTTCCTTAATCTGACTTTTTTGGTTACCTTAACTGCATCCTTTGATTACATGTTTGTCTGAAAGTCCTGGTTAAATTCAAGCTTAAAAACACACAATTTTGTTTAATTACATATTTATTTGAATGCCAACTCTGTGCTAGTCATTGTACAAGGTGGAAGGGATACAATGATGAACAAAAATAGAACTGGTCTTTGACTTCATGTAAAAGTACAACTTTGATAAATTCCACAAAAGAGAGACACATGATATGAGAAGGCATAATGCTGTTGTGTGCTGCTAAGTCAATTCCAACTCACAGTAGCCCTATAGGACAGCGTAAAACTGCCCTGTGGGGTTTCCTATGCTGAAATCTTTATGGGAGCAAATTGTCAGGTCTTTTCTCCCAAGGAGTGGCTTGGTGGGTTTGAACTGCCAGCCTGTCGATTAGCAGCCAAGGGCTTAACCATTGCATCACCAGGGCTTATTGAGAAGGCATAATATGAGGAAGTAACATTTAAAGGAAGAGCTGGGGATGAGTAGAAGTTACTGAGACTGGAGAAGAGAAGAAGCCCTATTCCAAGGAACTAAAGCAGCATATTTAAAAGCTTTATGACATGAGGGAACATGGTGTATTACAAGGGGGAGAACAAAGGGCAGAGAGGCTGGAGCAGAGCAAGAGGGAATGTGATATAAGATAGAGGTAGAGTTAGAAATGGGCTAGACCAAGAAGATCCTTGAAGGATTGTTGTCTCTATCCCAAGAGCAGTTGGAAGCCTTGAAGGGTTTGGAAAGATCACTTAGGCAGCAGAATGGAGAATGAATTGAAGAAAAATAAGATTGAATGAGGGAGATTAGTCAGGAGACAGTTGGAACCGTCTAGATGAGATGTGAGGGTAGCTTGGTCTAGAATGGTGGCAGGAGATAGAGAAAAAGAATGGATTCAAGAGGTATTTAGAAAGTACAACATAAAGGACTTGGTGATAGGTTGGAGGTATGGGGCGAGGGGGAGAGGAGAGGAACATGTCAATAACTCTTAGATTGCTGACTGTCCACATAGTAGGTGGGGCTGCCCTTCACTAAAATAACACTAGAATAGGAGCTGGTTTGCTGAAGAAGATTAGGAGTTCCATCTTGAACATGTTGAGGATGGGGTGTCTTTGAGTCTTCTCAGAGGAGATGTCATATAGGGAGTTATAGTTTTGCGTCTGGAGCTTGAGGAGAGGTCTGGGCTGTAGCTGTAGATCTGTGAATCATCTTCCCATGGATGGCAATCGCAGCCACGGGTGTGCATGGAATCACTTGTCTAGAGCAGCGCTGTCCAGTAGAAATAGAATACGACTCACAGATGTAATTGTAAATTTTCTAGTGGCCACATTAGAAAAGGTAAAAAGCAACAGCTGAAATTAATTTTAAATATACATTGTATTTAACCTAAGATATCTAAAATATTATCATTTCTCCATGTAATCAGTATTAACAGGTTATTAGTGAAACATTTCATGTTCTTTTTTTTTGTGCTAAGTCTTTGAAACTGGGTGTGTGTTTTACATACAGCACAGAGGGATCTGATGTTTAATTTTATTGGCCTACAAGAGGAAGATGAGCTTTCTCTTTTTGCCACTCCCCCCAGGGGATTGATAACCTTACCTATGATGTTAAATTTAGCTCTTGCCACACTAGTGACTTTAAGAGAGCTAGAGCATTTCTCTGTAATATATTTCACTGAGTAACCTATCATAGCATAAATATATTATTAATCTTAATGGCATCCCTGTGAAATATTTTTAGGATGAAGTTTGGCTATGGTGTTAAAGAATAAATACTAATAATAATGTATTACATGTATACAATGTTTCACAGTTCTCAGAGTACTTTTGTATGCATTTATCTTATTGAAGGGGTAACTATAAATGAGTTTGAGTTCCCCAAAGAGAATTAATATACAAGCAGTTTATCTTACATTTTGTTTAAGTACTTCCCCTCCTTTTAAAAATATAATTGTAAGAAAGAAGTTTTAAAAAATATTTTAAGATCATAACACCTCCAAACCAGGGTGAGAAGTAAGAGGGTTTTCTTTATTTTTAAGTTTGCTTTATATTATTTGACAACAGGAGATCAGTGTCCTACTTAACCTTTTTTTTTTTCCTTTCAGGACAACATAGGAGAGCTTGATCTTGATAAACAATCTGAGCTTAGAGCTTTAAGGAAAAAAGAACTAGATGAAGAAGAAAGCGTTAGGAAAAAAGCTGTGCAGTTTGGAAATGGTGAACTGTGTGATGCCATCTCCGCAGTGGAAGAGAAAGTGAGATATTTGAGACCTTTAGATTTTGAAGAAGCCAGAGAACTGTTCTTACTGGGTCAGCACTATGTCTTTGAGGCAAAAGAGTTCTTTCAGATTGATGGTTACGTCACCGACCATATCGAAGTTGTCCAGGACCACAGTGCTCTGTTTAAGGTGCTTGCATTCTTTGAAACTGACATGGAGAGACGATGCAAGATGCACAAACGTAGAATAGCCATGCTAGAGCCCCTAATTGTAGACCTGAATCCACAGTATTATCTGCTGGTCAACAGACAGATTCAGCTTGAAATTGCACATACTTATTATGATATGATGGATTTAAAGGTTGCCATTGCGGACAAGTTAAGGGATCCTGATTCACACATCGTAAAAAAAATAAATAATCTTAATAAGTCAGCATTGAAGTACTACCAGCTCTTCTTAGACTCCTTGAGAGACCCAAATAAAGTATTTCCTGAGCATATAGGGGAAGATGTTCTTCGCCCTGCCATGTTAGCTAAGTTTCGAGTTGCCCGTCTCTATGGCAAAGTCATCACTGCAGATCCCAAGAAAGAGCTAGAAAATTTGGCAGCATCATTGGAACATTACAAATTCATTGTTGATTACTGTGAAGGGCACCCTGAGGCTGCCCAGGAAATAGAAGTTGAACTAGAACTTAGTAAAGAGATGGTGAGTCTTCTTCCAACAAAAATGGAGAGATTCAGAACCAAGATGGCCCTGACTTAATCTTTGTTTTTAAAGAAAGGAAATATGCAAGATTGAAGTGCTTTTTTCCCTTATCAAACAGGCCTAATTCCATTGTGATACTTACCTTTATAGCTGGATGAGTGCCGTTTGAACTGAGATAACAGTCAGATCAGTTGAGTCTTTGGTAGGACCTTAATCAACATAAAGGTAATTAACAGTCTGCACTAAATTATGTAAATTGCCTTATTAAAGTGACGTGTGATTGGTATTTCAGGTTGCTTGTTTCCTATTTAAATATAAACTTTTACTGCTTTAGTTTCTAATGTTGTTGGCTAGTACTTGATGGATTAGTTACAAGGAAAAATGCTGGGTAATGTACCTGGTAGACAAGCCTGTTACTATATTAAAACCGAAGAAGTAACTTCCTGTAGTTATTCTTTCCAAAATACTTACTTTCCTAAATTCCTGAAGAAATCTTTCCTTTTTGAAAATAATAAAAACTAAGTTATGTTTATTTTGTGTGTTGCAAAGTAGTTTATCTCAATTATATTCCTTGTTGGAAATATAATAAATTGACTTGTTTCACTAATAAGAAACTTGTTTCATTTTTTGTTTTCTTGAAAGAATTGCTTTTTTTGACACTTGAAAGATATTAGCTTATTTGAAGCCAGAGAAGAATATTTCTTCAATAACATTCCACTGTTAGAAAATATTAAAATCTCATTCATTTAATAAATATTTATTGAGCTACTACTGGGTGCCACAAATTATTTTTGGCTGTAGTTTCTCATCCCAGGGTCCTGGTATATTTGTAAACCTTTAAGCACTGTTGAAAAATGATTTGTGCTTCATAATTAAACATTGTTAATGTATAATATGTTAGTCATCATAAGAAATACATAATTGACATGGAGTCCTTATCCAGTGTACACATCAAGATGGTTACATTTGATAGGGAGAATAGCTCTGTGTGTTGGCTTGCCTATTAATTTGCTTCTGAAAGTTTAGGACTAGGTCACCTCTAAGATTCTGTAATATTTACATATTTGATAATCCCCTGCTTTTCTTTTGAGATCAGCTTGCTAGGAAAAAAAAACTTTTTGAGTACAACAGTCAGTAATTTATAATTTATTCAGTATTTAATAAAGTGTCTACTGTGGGTCAGGCACTGTTTCAGTTTTCTAAGCATAGAGGATGCAGTGATGAACAAGATAAACAAGGTTCCTGTTCCCATGGCTGAAGTAAACAAATGAGCAAGATAGTTTCTAGTCATAAGTGCTATTAAGAAAGAAAAACAGAGTGATATGGTAAACATTTAATGAGAAAGGGTGCTGCTTTAGCTATGGTGGTCTGAGAAGGTGAGAGATGACATTGAGCTGGGAACTAAATGGAAAAAAGGGCAGCTAAGTAAAAGCCCTTGGGTAGAGTATTCCAGGGAACTCTAGGCCCTCAAGCTGAATGAATTTAGGAAGGAGTTTGATGTTTTAGAAGGTATGAAAGTCCAGTGTGGCTGGAGCAGATGGGGGTGGGCTGGGGTAGGGGTAGGGAGTCCAGATGGAGAGAGCTTTGTAGCTCAGGATGAGGAGTTTGGAGTTTATTCTAGGTGCAGTGGGAAATGTTCAGAATTTTAAGAAGGCAGGTGGCATGATGTTTTTAAGAAACCACTAGTTCCTAGGGAAGGAATACACTGTAGGGGTTGGTGGGGGCAGGCAGGGAAGCAGGGAGATGAGCTAGGTTCTGATTAATCCAAGTGAGAGATGAAGTGTTTTGGGCTAGAGAGAGAGCAGGGTTGGGGAGAAGTGGATAAATTCACTGTGTGCTTTGGAGGTAGAAATACAGGACACGCTAAAGGATTAAATGTAGAGAGAGCATGAAGGGAAAAGAAGAATCATCCTACATTGAGGGAGTTTGCAGGCGGAGCATAATTTTATGAAGGAGGTAGAATTGGAGCCCTGGTTGCACAGTGGTTAAGAGCTTGGCTGCTAACCAAAAGGTCAGCAGTTCGAATCTCCTTGGAAACCCTATGGGGCAGTTCTACTCTGTCCTATAGGGTCACTATGAGTCGGAATTGACAGCAACGAGTTGGAATTTTTGGTTTATGGGGTTAGAATTAAGAGTTTTGTTGAGTTTAGAACGTTTATCTTGAAGTCAATTGATTGCTAGTAACACCCTTTAATCAAACCTTATATGGTGTCTTAGGCTGGGATCTCTAGAGAAGCAAAACCAGTAAGGTATATTAATATATATAGAGAGAGAGATTATATCAAGGAAACAGCTCACGCGATTGTAGAGGCTAGAACTTCCCAAGTCTGTGGATCAGGGTAGAGGCCTCTCCCAAGTCACACAGCTGCAGAAGCTGGCAAGCCCAAGATCAGAAGGTCGGAGAACAGGGCTCCCACTCACCGGCTGTGCAGAT